GAATTTTCTTTTTCCTTCGTTCTTATTGAGTTTTGGGGCAAGGATAGGCTGCCAACCTAGAAGGAGATAGGCAAAAAGTGAAAAATGACAACTCATGCTCCTAACAATTTTTCTTTGGGTTTGGCTTGAGTTTTGGGATCAAGTTACTAACCAGAAAGTATGATAATGGTCAATGGTGTCCAGATTTGAGTTTGCCTTTGAATCCTTGTAAGTTTGAGAAGTGAATTGAAACGAGGACGTTTCAAAGTTCTAGGTGTGGGGGCATTTGTTGGGTCCAAAATTATATGCATTTTTACTGTCTATTTCTGTGCATTAAGTTGGGTTTTGGTGATTAATTCTGATAATTGAGGTCACAAATGTCTAAACTATGTTTTGAATACTTAGAACGTTTTGGGGTCAAAAGAATAGCATTTTAGTATAACAAAATCTGATATGATTAGTTTTCATAAGGGTGGTGGGCTGGAATAGAATCAAGCCCAATTAAACTTATGTGATGATCCGTTTTTGTTGTGCAGAGGATAAAAGGGAGAGGAAAAGTAGGGTTGGAGCATTCATTCCATTTTGGCCGTTTCTAACAAAAAAGGAAAGGAGAGAGGCAGAGGGACGAAGAAGATCTCTTCGCCGGAAAATAGTCTCACCACTATTTTCTTCCGGTGAGAGTGTGTGCGCAACCCAACCATTCAAGCAACCAAAAGTGAGTTTCAGAAGTCCACATTAAACCAAGTCCTTTTCTAAAGACAAAGAGATACTCTAAGAATTCTGAATCTATCTTGTTTTCTTTTGACACACAACATAAGAAGGCTTTGATATATCCCGGGATGCACCTTCACACACGCCACTAGTGTTACAACAAGTCAAGTGTTTAATGTCTAGGTGTTATGATCCATTTGTTACAATTCTCGTACGGATTACAACAGACGGGGAAGATGAACGGCCCCGGAAATAAAAATAAATAAAATTCTGAATTTATAATTTATTCAGAATATTACAAAATAAACAAAGTTGGAAAATAAATTTCTATATCTTCAAACGGCCTTGTTGTACGAGGACATTAAGCACTGGACAGCGAGGACGTTAAGCACTGGACAGCGAGGTCTTTAAGAACTGGACAGCGAGGTCTTTAAGCACTGGGCAGCAATTCAAGGACGTTATGCACAGGGCTGCAAGGACATTATGCACTAGGACAGAATGCAGCGAGGTCTTTATGAACTGAACCTGCAAAAACAAAACACCGTGGAAGGATAGCGGAGTCGCCGGAGCTGTCCTTAAGGTAGTAGTGCCCGCCTACCGTACTGGAAAAACGTGGGCACTCTCCTCCCAAGATAAAACCGCTATCGTGTGTGGTGATTGTACGGACCAACCACACACCAACGAACAAGAACAACGTAGGAACGTTGGCGACCGAAAAAAATGAAGGTAATCGCCGGAAAAATTGGCAAGAAAACCAAGAGCTCTCCTCAAAGTTAAACAAGGACAAAAGTGTTAACTTTTTCCTTCTCCTCTTTTTTTCCCACGTATGGATGCTCTCAAAAAAATGAGAAGAGTCCCTCCATTTAAATAGGCATTTTCATGGCTCTTCATTTTGTAACTTATATGCCATGAAGGCACATTCAATAGCCATGACTCACCATCATTAGTAATATTTTTAATGGTGTGTTAATACCACCATTAACATGGGGTTACACCCATAATGTTTAAAATTCTTCCTATTTAATTGGAGATTAATGGCCAGTTAACTCCGTAAAAGTGGAATAATTTTAAACATTACGTAACGGGTTAACTCTGAGAATCAATTTCTCATTCACCCTTCTACCATTTTTGGCGTATAATATATCAAAATATTTATCTCATTTAAGAGAACACACGTCCATTAATTAACGGTTAAAACCGTCAGTGGACCTATTGATAATTATACCCAAGGTTGTCCATTTAATGCCTATTAAAATGCCAAAAATTCCAACAATCCCCCTCATGAATGAAAATTGATTTGGGGGTCGACAACATCCCACGGTTGAAAACCTGCAAAGAACATGTAAGTGTCTCCACTTTTGAACATGTCCCTTGTAAAGTATACCTTCTTTACTGGTTGTTCAGTAGAACGCGATGTCTTTGAACTGTACTGCCGCTTGTGTAAATGATAGTATACCATACACAGATTCCAACCAAACGCCGTTCTGTTCTCATGGTTGTGCCCATTTTGGTCGTGGGACACGCGCCTGGTTCTGCGAGAGTGTTTAGAGGATTAAGCCCAAGATCCTCCGTTTGAAGCGACCACACTTCACTCTTACATAGGTGATTCTTTAAGAGTATCCTGATTACTCCCCTTAGACCACCGTGTCTATTGGTTATGAATCATTAAAGCATATTTATATGCTAACCTCATCATTTTCGGGAGTCACTGTCTTCAGCAGGAACAGAAGGGACTGACCGAAGGTTCCGGTACCGCCCCCACAGTGACCTCGCTTTATCTTACAAGTAGGTTGTCCCACTGAACCTGGGTACCAGCCAGGTTGGGTTTTCCTTCATAGGACTGTCCTAGCACAAGGGCTTCAGACCCATTCCTGCCACCAACTTCTCATGCAACTCATTTGTTAACCCTTTGGTTAGCGGATCCGCCAGATTATCTTTTGACTTCACATAGTCAATTGTGATAATCCCAGTTGTGAGAAGTTGTCTAATGGTTTTGTGTCTACGACGAATATGTCTAGACTTACCATTATACATATTACTCTTTGCACGTCCTATTGCTGATTGACAATCACAATAGATGCAAACTGGTG